GGCAATTGGATAACATTGAAGGTGATGTTGCTCATCTAAGAGCATAATTTCTGATTTTCCGTTTCAAGTTCAAAATACATGATATCTGCCGAGTTATGCTGCCATGCTGGGTACTTTGGTCAGTTCTCACCTTTCTTTATATATGCTAAACTAAACTCAGTGAAAGTGGAAGTGTGAATTTTTGAAGTTAAAGTGTTAAATAATTAGACTTGCATTCTATATTAATTATAAAGGCAAAGTGTTGATGTTTTAATTAAGAACATGGTAAGAAAAAGCAATTGGATAGTTCAAGATTGTTGGTGATGTGATCTAATGATTGAGTTCTTAATCGTAGTGCATACAAAAAAGGTTAAAAATAAATGTATACATCTAAGACTCAAATTCCTGATTTTTTATTTTTGTGTATGGAAGACTTGACATCTGTGAGTTCTATGGTGCTGGTGCGATGGTCACCTCTCTGTATATGCTAAACTGGTTGTGCCCTAAAATGTAGCCCGGCTAGAAGCTCTTCTATTTGAAGCGAAAGGTGAATGGACTGAAGCTGAAAGAGCCTATGCGCTAATCCTGGAAAACAATCCATTTGACCAGGTATGCCATGCCGTGGTTCTGATGATGATTCTCGTTTTCCATGTTAAAGACTTGGTTTGCAGTAGTAGTGCAATCTGCCAATCTCCTCTGCCCGTTGAGCCTGTCAAATTCTAAGGTTCAAAGTTTTTTTGAACTATATCTGATGCCATTTAACATTATTGTGAGTGCTTTCTGTGTTTGACAGATTGTCCACAAGAGGAAAATTGCTATTGCAAAAGCACAAGGTGATATGTCGATAGTGGTTGATTATCTCAATAAGTATCTGGAATTGTAAGTATCTGCATCCACTTTGTTTTAGGAGCAAGGTGTAGTTATCTGTAATTTCCTTTTGTTATAAAACATCAACACTTTTCTTGTATTAGATTTATGGCAGATCATGATGCCTGGAGAGAACTTGCTGAAACATACGTTTCTTTACAAATGTAAGGTGTTCGATATCAATTCACTCTACATAATCCGCTAGATATGGATGCCACAATACTAAATTGTTCCCATTTCTTATCAGGTACAAGCAAGCTGCCTTTTGTTATGAGGAGCTAATATTAGCCCAACCAACTATTCCACTCTATCATATAGCCTATGCTGAGGTAATCTGAACAACTCAACGGCTCAAAGCAAGCCCCTCTGCAAAAAGAAAGAATGATTTTTTTTTTTTTGCAATTATGCTTTCAAGCAAAGGTCTTAACATTATAACATGATGTGAAACATCCAAAATCAACTAAAACATGCCAAGATATTGATGATGTCCAGACGGGTCTGGACGGAGGATTGGTTTATTCAAAGAGAATTATAATTTAGTAAATAGTGATATGTTGAAATAAAAGAAGGATTTGATATAATATATCTATTTCTTTCATGTGATTATGTTTCACAGTGACGACTTCCTTTAGATATGGACTGTAATTTTCAATAGATACAATGCATTGCATCTTTGTAACAACTGCGAGGCATACAATTAACCTTAACTAGTGAACTAACTTTGGTTCCACCATACAGTTAATCACTTAATCTTACTTAGTATTTTTTGACACGCTTAGTTGTATTTCACAGTTTGTTTTTGTTGTCCCTCTGACTTGGAATTTAGAGTCAATCCCACTGTCCCACATTACTTAGTTACACTCAACATTTCGCTTAACAAACCATAGGCGTTTCTTGGTTCAATGGGAAGCATAATTGATTTTGTGCTGCACCTGTATGTGGTTCTGCCGGTTTTTAAAAACTTTATCATACTGATTATTGAGTATATATATACTTTTGTTGTGAAGGTTCTGTACACTATGGGTGGCTTGGAAAATCTTCAGACAGCTAAGAAGTACTATGCATCAACAATCCAGTTGACTGGAGGCAAGAATACAAGAGCCCTCTTTGGTGTATGTCTGGTAAGGCCATACTAGTGTAGGAAAAACTTGAACCCTTAGTTGATTCTTTCTGTGTGATCCATTATTGATTCTCTCGCATATCTTAAACACCCAGTGTACTTCGGCAATCAATCAGTTAACCAAAGGAAGGAACAAGGAGGAAGAGGGATCGGAGCTGCAGAGCTTGGCTGCAGAAGTTCTGTTGAAGAATTACAAACAACAGGCTCCATCAAAGGTGCCCCTTATCAGCAGCATGTTGAAGAACATGAAACTCACCTAATACCAACTAGCTTCGCACATTCACAGTGGCCCGGTTGATAGATAGTTAAATTAAATTGATGTGGCATAATGCTTGTTTTTTTTATGGCACCAACATTGCAAGGCTTAAAAATAGATGCTCCCAAGGCCATGGGTTGTACTTGTACAACACCTGTTTGCTTACCTAGAAATATGCATGGCGTCTTTTTCATTGGATGTTCTACTATAGATCAAGAAACCTCCGATTGTATTTCAGCACAAACAAAATTTTGAATCAGTCACTGATGAAGGTGTACCTGTTGGTTTTGATTGTTATCTGACTATTTGTTTTGTATGTGAATCCCGACTCGGAGCATTTTTTCTTTTCCCGTCACGTGTATTCTCGGTGGTTCTTTGTTTTCACCCTGCAATGTGTTTTCGGAGATACATATTCCTAACATGGTCATCACATGTTTAGTCCTTTCAACCACTAAACTTCAAGCTTAATAACTGACTAATGTCACCCCTTGTATTTTTCGCCTAATGATGGTAAATCTGAGCCAGGAGTTCCTGAGTCTTAGCTTGTCTATTCCGTCTCTGGTGTAACCTCTGTCAAAACTTGTTACACGCTGTATTTTCCTTGCATAAGAACCACTTGGCAGGTTGGCATCATGAATTCATGATTCATGACAAACATCAGACTTTTTTCTTGAAAATTGTCTTAAGGTACAATAAGTACCTTGAGCTTTTAGAACCAAAACTACCGGCAAAGATGGAGTATATAACTAACTAACAACAAAGCCTTTTGGAACGCAGGAATTTCAAATTCCATAGGAATTCCATAGTGTTTAGTTCATTTTTCGCATGAAAAAACGCAAGAACGATAAAAAAAAATCCCGCTAAAGCGGGCCTAAAGTTGGATCTATACCAGAGTTGTAATTTCCCCCCAACGTGTAATGCAGATGGTACCTGTAATTAGGCACTAAATTATTTCTGCTCGTGTAAAAAAACTGACATGAACAAAAGCAAGCTTGTCCCCTCCCTGTCCATGAAAGAGCACTTGTAATTGGAGATGGACGCTCATCGTAAGATACCGACCCAAGAAGTCAAACAAATTCAACTTTAACCAAATATATGCAATAAAATTAATATTTATACTACATAATTAGTACTATCTCTATCCACAAAAGAATAAAACTATATGTTACGTGCCACATAAAGTGGTTCACGTTTGATTAAGTTTCTAGTTAATGATATTCATATTTATGGCTCCAAATTAATTTATTATGAATATATTTTACAATTAATCTAATTGTATTTATTTGGCATCATAATATTGATATTTTTTCATCTATAATTGGTCAGACTTAAGGTACCAAAACTTGACCCTGTGTTTGAATTGCATTCTTTAGGGAGTATGATTAGATAGATCGTCAAACCTATTTTTATAATAAAGTTGTTTGGAGATACAAATGTTGCAAATATTTTATATAAATCTAGTTAAAGTTGAGAAAGTTTGACCTGCAGTTTCCCGTAGTGACAAATCCAAGGGACTGAGGGAGTAGTTGCCAACCACCGAATATGATAACATACTTTCCACATTTTATGTCCATATTCTAAAATGAACATTAATATGGATTTAAATATCTTTAGATGTTACAAATCGGATCTGTTATCTAAATCTGAACTTGAATATCATGCAGTTGAATAATAAAAGTATATAGGGAACTTCAAATCACTATTATTTTCACAAATTTGTGATCTTGAATACTGTGGTATAGTGGTGGCTTGATTGGCTTCAGGTCGATACATGGCGCATGCATGGCATATTGGCATGTACAAGAAAGGTTACACATGCTTCTATCCTGTCGCATCACCATCCTCTCTCTTGCTTGAGACATGTGAGCAAGAGGCACGCCTTTTGGATGAATACTCCATCCATTCCAAAATAAATAACATTTTTTTTGGCTTTAGACATATTCTTTGACCGTTCGTATTAATTTTTTATATAAATATTATCTATTTTATAATAACTTTATTATTATTGATGATACTTTAATAATAATTTATTTATTTTATAATTCATAAAAAAATACAACTGCAGCCTTTTGATCATAAGGTGCTCCCTCTATTTCTAAATAACTGTTGTTTTCGCTTCCCGAGAAATAACTTTGACTAAATATATATAAAAAATATTAATATTAATGATTCAAAATTAATATCATTAGATAGATCGTTGAATTTATTTTCATAATAAATTTATTTAGAGATACAACCGTTGCACATATTTTTTTTTACAAATCCAGTCAATTTTACAGCACATAAACCAAAATCAATAGTTATTTAGGGACGGAGGAGGAGCCGCACCCTTTTTAACTAGAAGGCTCCTTTCCTCACAAATTCAATTTAGAGAGTTTTATTTGTGCTATTATAAAAATTTACAATTATCCATGAGCTATTAAAAAGTCCGAACGGTCACAGCAACCCTGTTCGGAACTTATTTGTCCTCCACGCACGTCGGCATTCTGTTTTGATCTTTGCGAATCCTGACACGTGGGCCAGTCAGTAAAAATGTCCAGAATAACCCACTTGAACAGGCCACTCGTAACAGACGCTGCATCTGCATCCAGGTGACAGATGCTTGCATCCAGTTGACTCCATTCCAATTCCAATTTCTCCAGCGCAGGGTGGGCGGGAAGACGAAAACCCCAACGCCGCCGCCTGCTGGAGTGGAAAGGGGTAAACCCGCCGCCATCGCATCCCACCCCACCCATCCGGTTTCGATTCGATTCGCCGGTGGTGCCCGCAGCGGAGGGGATGGCGAGCTCCTACTCCTTCCCGCTGTTTAAGCCGGAGGAGATCGTGCCGGCGCTGCACAGCTACGGCATCGCGCCCAGCCCCAACCTCTGCGCCGAGGACGTCGTCTACCCTCAGCCCGGCTTCGTCGCCAAGGTCTTCTCCCTCTTTCTCGCCAACGTCGTCGAGTACGCCCCCGCCGCTCCCCCGCCCCGAGCTGTCCCGTCTCACCTGGATCCGGCCTCATCTCTGCGTTTGCTTGTTTTGGTTTTTGGGGGGCATTTTGCTTGTTGCAGCGACGAGCCCGACGAGCAGCTACAGTCCAGGCGCTGCAGGTGCTCGACAACCCGGAGCACCACATGCGTGCCCTACGGTACTTGCGGATCTACAAGAGGGCCAACGCCTTCCTCTAGTTCATCCAGTTCCGGGACCTCAATCTCCGCGACCTCCTCCGCGCCGACGGCCCCCGTGTCGTCGACATCCTCAGCGCCCTCATCAACTATCTCCTCTTCAGGCAGGAGAAGCTCACCTTGCTCCAGCCCATCGTCCAAGAGTACGGCGCGCCTGATGAACGGCACACGGAGCTCAGGGCTAAGATCGCCGAGGTCTCCTTCCCATACTCCTCCTTTACATTTTTCTGCCTTCTGTCCGGGGAAATACTTAGATTTTCTCTCCCTGTGTGTGTTTTCTTTTCTGCATTTTTTCCCTTCCATTTTCAACCTTATACAGCTTACGAAGGCGAAAGAGGACCATCTGCTTAAGGAGCAGATGGAGGCACCCATGGTCCAGCAGCTTGAAAAGGAGGTCAATGCCCTCAAGCAGAGGCTTCATGATTACAACAGAGAGCAGCTGTCGCTGCGCGTTGCATCAAAAGCCTTGGACGAAAAGAAAGAGGAGACACTAAGGAAGGTGCTGATTCCTGTCTTGTGTTGCATTTTTCCTTCCTTTTGATTAGAATGGTGCTTGGGCTTTTCCTTGGTACGTCTTTATTCTTATGTTCTGTGTGATCGATCAAAAACAGAGGTTTACAATGTGGACATGTGTTTACATATGTCAACTTTGAACCTCCTGCATATTTTGGCTGCTGTCAATCTTGGCACTACTACCTTGCTGCCTTAAGCTACAATGCCGAGTAGCTTTCTTATTTGGCGTATTGCTGATACCTTCTGTCAATAAATGAATAAATTGTTGTCCATGAAAACTAAGAGGTATGTATAATCTGGTTGTTGCTCAAGTGTCCACCATGTTATGTTACCAGCATATGAAAAGAGCAAGTTTCCGATGCATGTTATATTTGAGAATGTGCCTACAGCATGGACACTATTGGAATTTAGAAGTAGTACGAACTAACATTGAAATTAGTTGAAAAGTCATATGCTTAAGCATTCTGTTCAATGCCAACAAGATAACAAATTGTGTTGAAGTCAGTAGGTTTTGTTTGGCGTATATTCAGTTCCAGGCTTCTTGGTTGAAGCTAGCACAGGTAGTTTTGGATTACATGGAGTCTGGATGAAGCCATAGGTGATAGTGAGCTGCCTTTTGGTAGGTTCATTGGTTCAGTCAGTTGCAAATATTTCACCTGATTCACGTCAACAGATCATGTAACTTGCCACTGGTTTTGGTTATACATACGTTGAAAATCTCATTAGACTTAAAAGTGGAGAAGCTGGAGTTATTAGGCCAGACATGAGACACCCCCTCTTACTCTGGCTTTTTACTCCGAGGAGCCAAAGCTCCATAGACTGCCACCTTCTGTATGTTATAGGTGCTCCAGGCCAAATCAGTCTTAAAGCACTGGAAGTATGCTTACTTGTTTAAGAAAGCGATCTTTTAGCATAATTGGAAGACATTTAGTTATTTAATCAGCCACTGAATGCTGACATTTTTTTTTCTTCCTAACTAATAACTGGTATTTATTAGCATCGGTTTTGCTTTGTATTTATGGACATTGACCAGCAGAACTGCTCTTGTTAAGTTAAACTGGATTTTTTTGTACTCTATTCAAAGCAATACTTCATAATATTACATTCGCTGCTTGTTTTTTTTTCCTGGCAGATCAACCAGGCTGATTTTGAGTTGGTGAAAGCTATGCAAGAAAAGGAAAAGCTATCAGCCAAAATTGTCCATTCCCCTGAAAAGCTCCAGGTAGGCTGTATGTTGTTTGTTTTAAACTGATACAGGCATAAAGTTCATCAGGAATTGAATGTGTTGGAATGCCTAAGCTACAAAAACCGAAAGCCATTCATACAAGCAACTCTGTAGGTTCTAGAATTACTTTCCATGGTAGAACAGCAAGCCATAGTTTTCCTAACTGTCTTACTCAATGCAACTAGGACTTGCAAGTATGCTGTCATCCTTTCAACTGTCGGAATGACTTTATCTCTTCACAGTTCAGCATAACTATGAATGAATTATTCACTCATATCATTGCAATTGTCACTGGGTGCTCTATCTAAGATTGCGTTCTTTTTAAAAAAGTGTCCATTTTCCCAGAATCATTAGTGCTTGCTTCTTTATGTGCTATGAGTATTTTTTTTATGTGCTTACATTGTCAAATTGCTTCAATCAGAATTATGAGCTTCAATCAGATAATCATCGTCTTGTGCTAGCTTCCATAATAACTATGGATTTTATTTTCTATATCAAAGAGGAACCTTGAGGAGAAGAAAGCAGTCCGTGATGAGTTAAAGAACTTAGAGAAGATGGCAATGCAGAAAATCCAAGAGAAAACCGATACTCTTGAGATGTATACTAAGGTACTCTTTATGACGCGCTCTTCCTGATGCTGATTGGCGCAGCAATTTCACACTTGTTGCTATAAATTTGTTGTAAACAATACAGATCATGTGCTAACGAACAGTGTTTTCTTTCTGGTAATCTTGAGTTCCCATTTAGTTCTCCCCACAGCCTCGGATCATTCTTTTCTTACTACAGCTGATGGGGCAATTGCTCAAATCATCAAATCACAAGAACCATTTGACATTTATTGTTGTTTCTTGTGAGGCTTGACCTTTCTTATTTCTGTATACTCCATTTATGTAGTTGCATGATAAGCATCTTTATTTTGCAGGTTTCTGAGAAACTAGCGAAGCATCTCTCTAAAATTTCTGCTGTACTTGAAAAAGTATGAATAGCGGCAAGCTTTCCTTCATGCAAGATTTTTTTTCCCTTTGGCTGATTGCACCCTTGAGTCAAATTGGTATGACAATGACTGTACAAATATATTATTCATGCTAGAGCGCTGCTGCTAAAGCTTCTGAGAAGGATGTTAAAGCACACAAAGAGAAGACCAGTGATCAAAATTTGGAGATAAAGGCACTTCGCAATAAAGCTGCTGAATGGGAAATGAAAGGTTAGTATATTTTTAGCATTGCTCAAGTATTATCAAGTCAGTTCTTAGTTCAAATGTTATCATCACATTACTGTGCATGAACATCTTTCAATTAGTACTCGAGAACGAGGCCAAACTGAAAGCAAAGGAGAAACAAAGGGATCAAAGAGTTGGAGAGAACAATTGGAAGATGACTGCATTGAAATATGAAGTTGAATCGGAGCACAAGTGCCTTGAGGAGAAACAAAGAAAAATAAAGGAAAAGATTGACAAGGTGATGTTCTTATCCTGGATGTTCTGCTGTTGAAAAGAATCCTTTCGAAATTGCACTGCATGAGTTGCCACATCCCATCTATTGCTTTGCATGTTACCTTTGAATTTGATTGATACCTTCGAGCCTGATTAGTAGCTGTGGCTGTATAAATCTAGAAGGACAAACATAGGCTATGCATCCAGTACTTCATTTCTGGAAGTCTGGTAGGCTGTTGTCATCTTTTTTCTTTATTGTGCGTACCTCTTTCACATTTTCCAACATACTGTCTGCCAATCAGGGTTCTGAATTATGCTCTCAAGCCGATTCTGTTGCTGAAGCTGGAACAAAGAAAATAGAGGAAAATCTATGGGAAGTATGATCAAGTTTGTGAGGCGGTACGTCCTAGCTAGAAGCCTATTTGATTTCCTAAAAGGACACTAGTCCATAAAGAACATTGGTTTCCTTGAGGTTGTTTGCTGATAACAGCCTTTTCTCCAGGCTAAGATGTACATGGATGGCTTGGATCAATCCTTCGACGAGACTGATGAAGCTGCAGTGATGTTGAACACTATAGCCCAGAGTGGCGCTTGATGTGGTGAGTTGACCATCGGGCAATGGATCGTGGACAATTAGCATAGTAATAATTGTGCTAGTGTCCGGCTTTGTGTATATATACCTGCACTGGACCGTGTCGTGTGTGGTCACTTTTGCATCTCGTTTCATGTTGTTGCTCTGATCGTGTGTGGTCAGTCAAACGCGTTTGTATGTGCTCTTTGCACCTCTATTTTAATTTAATTAGTACTAGCTTGCCACTGAAAATGGATATGTTAACCGGTAATTAGGTTTGGATTTGCTTGGTTGCAAGTCCAACCGTGGAGGACAAATCGAAAGCACCACAAGTACTGTCGAATCTCGACAGTGGGTAGGCTCAACTTTAGTCACCTAAGTTGAGACAAGAGTGCAAAGTTTGCATCTACTGTATTAGTGTAAATGGAGGTTAGAATCTGACTTCACTAGTATCTCTCTTACTAGGAATACGTATTTATTTTGTAGGATCTAAATCAATGAAAAAAAAATTGTTGGTCAATAAATTAGGAGTCTAAAAATTGATTGGAGCAACCACGTCACACTCACCAGACAGGGCAAATAAGCTGGATGAATATATGGCGCGCTGCAAGGGTCTGGACGTTCATTTCGTTGAAATTTGACTTATGCTGATTTATTATGAGAAGAAAACATTGTTCGTTCGCTGAAAAGTACTGTTGAAGTAGTTTAAGTGAACAGGGCATATCGGCTACGTCTGCGTGATTTAGCTTGCTACTGCTGCTGCTTCTTGTCTTCTTACCTATCCCTCACAACGATTATTTACCTGACAAGTGACACATCTAATTCTCAAGTCAGTTGTTACGTGGTTTGTTCCTCACATGCATCCTCTATCTCTGTTTTAAGACAAACTCTATCTGTGGAATAGATTGAGTTGATCCATAACCGTTTAATTGATCCACACAATTTAAGAAAGACTCACCATGCATCACTCCATCTAGAGAAGTAGATTACTCAAATCAAACACACTGTCACTCCAAATGGCGTCCAGAGGACTAAGGCCTTATTCGTTTGTCTTATAATCCGTACTTTTCAGCTTATTTTTTTAACCGGAACAATGTTTTTCTCTCACGACAAATCAGCCAGAACAGTGTTTCGGCTTGTTTTTTAGCGAAGCGAACGGGGCCTAAGAAATGACAACCAGACTATCATGCGGTTGGTTTGGGAGTGCTGACTTGGTTGGGCCCCGCCCGTGCATGCCGCACTCCCGAGCGGATAAGGGAGGTGGGCCAAGATTACCAGGGATTTTTTCAAGAGTTAAATGTATGGGTGATCCATCAATTTGCGCTCTAGTTTTACTTAGCCCCATCAACTCTGAAAGTAGGTTTTTGGGTCCATAATCTTTGTTAGTGACGCATTCTTAGCCCATACCTCTTTATTTTAATTTTTTAACCGACGTGGTTGTCCATCGTGGCGTCCAGGTTTGATTTGGCAGTAGAGCGTCGACCGCCCAGTCCATGCACACGATGACCGTCCCTAGCACCGCGAGGCTGACGGCGGCGCCCACCAGGAAGCCGGCCAGGAGTCCTTCCAGCCCCAAGCGGGCCTTGAAGCCGAGCGCCACGCCCACCGGCAGCGCCACCACGTAGAAGCCGCCCACGACGGCGACATGCCCAGATAGCCGGAGCGCCGTGCCCCGCGACGATGCCGCCGCAGACGTTGGTGAAGTTGACCACCTCAAAGAACGTCATCACCTTCATGGCCCTCCCCGCACCGTCCCGCACCTCCGGCTGTGGGTGTATATGCGCGCCCACCACGGCGCGCGGCCGCCGCCAAGATGAGCAGCGAGCCGCCGGCAACGCCGCCGCTAAGCCGCCCGCGATGGACACCTTGTGGCGCGGTGCGCGCCAGGCGGCGCCCCCGCGCCTAGCTTCGTTGGAGACGCTGCTGACCGACGCTACCTGACGGATAGCGACGCGATGGCCGCGAACAGCGGTAGTCGAAGTTGAGCGTGGCGGCAACCACGCCCACCATGCGGCGGCGTCGGGAGGCGCCCGTGAGGAGCACCAGATCTCGTGAGGACCACCACGAGGCGGTGTTGAGGCGGCGAGGGACGGCCGACGGCGGAGGAGCAGCAGCCCGATCGCCCGTCGTTCTTCGGGCTTCGCTTCTTCTTCTTTTGCGGCTTGGTTGGCGCCGGAGCTCGTGGGCGAAAGCACGAGGCGGCGAAAGCATGAGCGCTTAGGGCGAGGTCGCCGAGCCGAAGGCCACGGCCATGCTCTGCCGGACGCCCATCTGGTGGAGAGCGACACGGTGAGCGGGATGTGGAGCGCCAGTAGCGGCGGTGAAACGATGTGGCAGCGGCCACCTCCCGCGCTAGGCCGAGGTAGGCCTTGAGCAAAGTTGAGCACGGAGGTGACGACGAGGTCCGGGAGGAGGCAGAGCACGAGGTCTGGCGGTGTCCGTGATGTCGAAGCCAGCCGGCGAACGCAGCAGCAGACGCGGCGTCGACGCCGCTCCGAGAGGAGCGCGATGGGTACGGAGGCGGCGAGGCGCATGAACGTGGCCTCGAAAGCGGCAGCCCCTTGATGAAGCGACGTTGCGCCGCGCCGCGCGCTGGCCGCAGATGGGCTCCATGGGCGCCGCAGAGGCGCTAAGGACGGCGGCCGGTGACGTTAAGCGGGTTGTAGGCGAGCGTCTTTGGCGGCCGGTGGAGGTCGCCGAGGCGGCCCAGGAAGGCCGTGGGGACGGCCTGCTTGGCAAACCAGGTGAGGTTCATGCTGACGAGCGGTATCGCGATGCCGCGCTGGGCGCGTACCTCGGCCGCAACAGCGGCGAGGCCATGCTGCTGCTGCTTCGGTGTTGCTGCTGGTGGCGGTGGTGTCGTCATGGCTGGTGGAGTTGCTGCTTCGGTGTTGCTGCTGGTGGCGGCCAAGACATGGGTGAGGATCGATGACGAAGCGAAGCAAAGCAAAGCAAATGTGTGTTTTCCGTGCGTGAGCAGACGGTGTTTGTTGGGGGTTACAATCCAACCTCGACGTCACGATAGACAACCACGTCGGTTAAAAAATTGAAAAAAAGAGGTATGGGCTAAGAATACGTCTCTAACAAAGATTATGGACCCAAAAACTTATTTTCAGAGTTGACACTAGAGCACAAATTGATGAACCACCCATGCATTTAACTCTTTTTTCAATTAATTTAATTTTCAACCATCTTATCCTGTCTGGAAGAAAATCAAGAGCTATAAATGATGAGCCAAAACGCCACCACCTTTTCTTGTTTGTTGTTTGTTTCCGCGAGAGGTCGCACTGCTAGGATCCCTGAATCCTCCGTCCTGGTTGCCTTGTTGGGGATCATCCTTGTCCCAGAAATGGCAGCCGCGCACACGAGTGGTCACAGAAGCATGCGGCGCAGAAGATGTCGCAGCCGCTGCTCCTCGATGCCTCCGCCTCCGCGGCTTCCCCACGTTCCGACGAAGCCCACGAGGCCGAGCCCGCACGACGCGACACGGCCAGCTCACCTCACCTGTCCCTCACCAATGCCTGCGCCGGGCGTCGTCTCGTCGCTCTCCCGGGAGGCTCCGTATATACTCGAACGCGAGCGAGGCAAACCAGCTGAGCCGATGCCCTCCGCCCGCTGGCAGCGCTTGCCGTGCCGTGCGTTCACGCCAGTACGCCACGCCGCCCACGGCACTCCGGGCCCGGCGACTTCAGACAGACTCCATCTTCTCTCTGGAGTAGAGCACTCGTCGGGCGGGCCGACCGGCGCGATGCTCGCCTCCTCCGCCTCCGCATCGTCCGGTCAGATGGCCGGGCTCTGCGTCCCGCGCCGCTCGCCCACTCCTCTCCTCCCCCGCCGCGGCCGCTTGCTCCCTCGGCGCCCGGCCGCGCTGCTCCCCCGCGCCCGCGCCCCGGCCCTCCGCCCCGTCGCTGCCGCCGCGTCTCCGCCGCCCCCGTCCGCCGACTCCGCGGTTAGTCCTCCAGTTTGTTTGTTGCCCGGTGATTTTGTTGTGATCCCTCGACCGCGGGTGTGGCCAGCCGGAACGCGCGTGCTTGCTCCTCCATTTCGTCAGGTTTTTCTCCCGACTAGTGATATAACGGATTCCGGTGAACGGTGGGCGCCCGCGGTTCAGTCTCCCCGGCGATCCATGCCTGGCAGTGCACAGATACCCCTTTCTGCCTCCGGGAAAGCAATCGGCGCTTTGCTTGTGGAGGACCCGCCAAATTTCGGCCCACCATTAATCGGTTCTCGCTTTCCGTACATCAAGTGTTGAGGTCATTATCCAAATTGGCTAATCGACTGTGATGTGTGATCGAGCTAAGCAGTTCCATCCGTGTCAATTAAGGGGGACGGTGAGGTGGTAGTGGTACAGCTAGCTGTTCCTATCACCCTGTTCCTGGCTTATCCCTTTGATATCTAGATTCCTTTTTACCGTCGTCGTAGTATTATTTCGACCCCCTTTCATGTGTATATGCCTTTTTAGCCACGTGGGGGACTTGATTTCGTCACAGACATGCCATTGTGGATTTGTTTCCCACCATTGTCCAGGGAATTGTAGAATTGTAGGCAGGCGTGTCAAATTGTGATACTGTAGCATTCTTTGAAGTATTGTGCTGCAAATAGTAGTTCTGTGAAGGATGAATAATTTATTATATGAGTTACTGCATTGGTGTCTTGAGTTATCACTTATTCTCGATAAAAATCTAAGCTGTTCGGTCTCAAACTTGCACTGATCCACTTTACAGCTAGAGCATCAAGTACGTAGAAAGTGCTCACCTCTACTGGAGAGTGTTCTGTTGCCTGGTGGAAGTGATTCGACAGTGCATGAATGGAAGGCGGTTCCAGATATTTGGAGGACAGCAGCAGAAAAATACGCTGACCTCGTAGCTGTGATAGATCCTTACCATGAACCGCCGACGGAATGGACATATACACAGGTACATCTTTGACTTCAATGGCCATGCATAAATGTTACTTTTCTACCATACTGAATAATCACCTTAAAAGGAAAGGAGCATGAGCTTGAAAGCCATCATGAATACTTA